ACATCACCATCCAGGTCCCCAAGGCATACCAGAAGATCCCTACAAAGCCCCTCATAGGCCCTCAACAGCAGCACCCGAACTACAACGTGGTCTTAGGAGTCCTCGAAGATTTCTACGAACATCTTGGAGGGGTGGATGCTGAACATGCTACTATCGAAGGGGACCTCAGGGCTAAAGGAATACAGACTCTCAACCAAACATACGCAATGTGGAACGAATTGGCTTGGCAAGAGCTCAAGCAAGTCACAGGTGCCAGCCCGACAGGAGTGCATGGTGGCCACCCCATGGAGTGGGAGGAGAAGCCGCTACCTGCAGTCTTGGCCACCAGGACGCGCTCCTTCCCCCAGCCACCTCGTGCCATAGGATGGGTATTGGGCAGGCTAACCGAGATCCGCAGCCTTCGGAACCAGGGAAAAACACCAGGAAAAGACGCGTACCTGGGGACCCTGGTCATGCAGCTTGTCAATATTTCATCCCATGGAGGCCCCTTTAGGTCTGCTTGGAAAGATGGGGGTGTTTTTTGGCACCCAATTTTGCGCAGCTTGGGAGTTATCATCATGGTGGACCCAGAGGGGGCCAACAACATCCTCACTGATATGATCCAGTTTGTCAAGGATTTCAAAAACTGCGTGTTCTTGTCTGGGGACCAGCTCGATTGGGCAGGATGGAAGGAATGGTGCCAACAGGCGGTCGAGGAGCATGGGGCTCGCGAGGCTCACAGGTTCCCCAAGGGCGTTGAAGTTCCCAAGGCTCACACGAGACCACCAGGGGAGCCCACGAAGACCGAGGTCAAGGAGCTCCTCCACAGTATCTCTATTCGGGCCCGTCTTGAAAACCAAAGAGTGCTATGGAAGAAAGTCTGGTCGGCATCAGATCAACCGCGTGCCCGTTTCGAGTTTGTCCAAGGCGGAATACCAGTAGGGAAGCGCGCTCAGGTGGACACCATTCGTGGGAGTTCACGATGTTTCAAGGACTCCACATGCACGCCAGATGGCTGGCACCCGAAGCACCTCTCGCTCCTCTGCGATGACGGCCTGCTCGTGGTGTCGCTCATGTTCCAATTGATGCAGGTGACGTGCGCTGCCCCAGCTCAGGTTCAAAGGCTGGTGGTATTGCTTGCACCCAAGCCTGACCCGACGGCCAGGCGACCTCTTGGGCACTTCGGAGGCTTTGTTCGTGTGTTTGGGAAGATTCAGAAACAAGCTGCCAAGGACTGGGAAACCAAATATGGGATGGGTGTTGGGTTCTCTATGGCTCCAAGGAGGTCCCCCTCGGACACCGTCTGGAGGCAGGCTGTCATTGCTGAGCACCAAGGGAACTCAGGAGGTTTTTCTCTGCAGGTCCTGTGGGATATTAAGCAGTTTTACGAACATGTGACCTATGGTATTTTGGTTCGATCTGCCCAGTATTGCAAGTACCCTCTCTATCTGCTGCAGTTCGCCATAGGGACCTACCAATGGCCAAGGCATCTTATGCTGGAAGGTCTAATGGATGCAGCACTGTACCCAGGCCGCGGGATTGTAGCAGGATCCACGACGGCCACCTATGAGGCAAAGGTCTTCCTCAAGCCAGGCGTGGACCGATTCACCACCAATATGTCTGATAGTGCATCCCTCTCCCTCCACGTCGACGACCTCACTCTCCAACAGTGGGGAGACTGCATGGGGTGGGTGGTGGGAGCACTCAAAGAGTTGGCTGAATCGGTCCGTTCATATTTGGTAAATGATCTGCAGCTCCCGCTCGCCTACCACAAGTTTGGCATCGCTGCGTCGTCGGGGCCACTACTCAAGCTGGGTCGTGTGGCTCTTGGGGACCTCGCTGGAGCTCCTGATGATGGGGACGTCACGAACTTAGGCGTGGACTTCTCGGGAGGCCAACATAGACTCAGGAGGGGCACCAGAAGGACTCGAACCAAGAGATGGATCAAATACGGGGCTCGAAGGTGTAGGATGACCAGGCTCAAGATCAAATCAGGGCACAAGAACAGGTTGTTTCAGACCAACTTGAAGGCCACACTCACGTACGGAGCTGAAGTTCATGCGTTTAGCCCACACCAGATCAAGGAGATCAGGGCCTCTGCTGGGAAAGACTCCGGGGTCCTCTTCAAGGGGGCACAAGTGGACCTCGGGTGGGCTCTATCGTCGTATCTGGACCCGATCGACATAGCGAGCAGGAGTATAGCCAGGATCGCATCAGAATGGTGGATGACGACGGCCGTCCACAAGCACGAGCACGTCCACAAGGATGTGCTGAAGCCCGCCCTGCTCAGCAAAGCCTTGCACTCAGCCGCCCGCCACCTTGAGGAGACAAAGGGGAAAAATTGGTTCTTTCGGTCCAGAGGGCCAATAACTGATGCCTTACTCTGGTGTGAGGAGGCTGGTTGGAAGATGTTAAGCCCAGGGGTTTTCCAGGACTCCGTCGGGGACACCCTCAATTTCACCGAGGTCAGCCCTGCGCTGGTGTCCAAAAGATTTGCCACCCAGCTGAAAGATACTTACATCCAGAAATACGTTCGGGGAGTCTGTGAGAAGAACAATTGTGACACGCAGGACCTTGAGACCCGAGGACTGTGGTGGGAACTCATCAAGCAGAGGATGAACTCCACCAAGCTTGGGCTCACGCTCGTAGAAAAGCTTAGAGTGAAGCAGTTGTTTTGTGGAACCCTCCCGACGGGCGAGGCCCTCGCGAGGTGGGGTTTCAAATATAACTCAGCGTGTAATAGATGTGGCAGGCTCGACACTGCGTGGCACCGCGTTTGGTCTTGCCCTTGCCCGCGTGCGTCAGCTGTCCGAAGCGAGGTTTTCCCTGAGGCTCTTATTCGACAAGCCCTGGAAGCTGGCCCAGGGTCTCTCCTTTTCAGCCGTGCCTGGGTTGCCAGGCCCGACCTGTCCACGGGGCCCCCTGCCCAGGACTGGGCGCAAGATTTAAATTTTTTTGGCCCTGGGGGTGTGGAGACGGCGCCGTTTGAATTCCCACCTGGGGCACTGTTGTTTACTGATGGCTCGTGCTTGTTCCCCCAGCTCAAGCCCTGTTCCAGAGCTGGATGTGCAGTCATTCAAGCGAACGAAGATGGCGAGCTGGTCAGAGGCATAAGGTCCCCTGTCCCAGGCACGATGGAGCAGACCAGTGGGTCTGCTGAGCACTGTGCCATCATGCTCGCCACTGCATACTCAGCTGATCAGTGCCAGTCAGGCGAGATTTTTGTTGACTATGCGACTCTCCTCAAAGCTGTGAGGGCCCGCCAATGGGCCCTGTCGGGGGCCAACCCGATGGCCCACGTTTGGCGGGAAGTGGCTCGATGGCTCCCTGGGGGCCCGCCCCGCCTCACTAAGGTCAAGGCCCATAGATCCGAGGAGGAAGTTGCCAGTGACCAAGTTTTCTTTGTGCGAGGGAACAAGCTAGCAGACCACCACGCAGGGCTTGCAGCCCGCGCGCATGCTTTCAGCAATAGGGTCTCCGACGAGTGCACGACCATTCCCAATCTGTACACTACCCTAATTCACGGAATGGGTAAAGTGCTTGGGGAGTGGCCCACGTTCGGGGAGTTGGGTGAGCTGGGGAGGGCGCGTTTGGGTCCCAAGGCCACTCCCAAGCCACGGACCCCGCACGAGCCAGTTTTCCATGAAGGAAAGAGGAGATGCAACCTCTGTTTTAGATATCTGGGCCGCAAGGTTATCTTAAGTCGGGACTGCAATGGTCTGAACCCGTCCCTTGCTGCTTTTCTGAGTGGTCCCAGGAATCACCACAACCTCCACGTGGCTTGGGTCGAGAGCTCTGGGCTGCCTGTTGTTTATTGCTTGAAGTGTGGTGCTTTTACCACGTGCAAGGCGGGCCCAAAGCTACGTGGACCATGTGACGGGAAGGCGTCGTCCGAGAGCAGGAAACTCAAACGGAGGATCCTGCCTGGAACCGGCCTACCCATTACCAATTCCGTAGCTCTCCCACCCCGAGGCCGTGAACTCAGGGAGGTGAGGAGACCTACGTAAAATTTTATCCGTGAGTGTACTGTGCTTGTACGGTACACCACCTTTCGAGTAACCGAGTAACCGAGGAGGAGGAGGAGGAGGAGGAGGAGGAGGAGGAGGAGGAGGAGGAGGAGGAGGAGGAGGAGAGGAGGAGGGGAGGAGGAGGAGGAGGAGGAGGAGGAGGAGGAGGAGGAGGAGTAGGAGGAGGACCCCCTCCCCCTCCAACATCTGGTGGTGGTGGTGGAGAGCAGGCCCATCAAAAGAGCCGCAGGGTGGGAGGCGCCGACCCCCGATCGTCGCGCTTCGGCGCCGACGGGGGGAGGGGACCTGCCGGCCCCGCCCGCCCAGGAACGCGCGGGCTCGCCCTTGGGGGGCCCGTCGCCGACCGGTTGGCGAGGCATCGCCGACTCCAGGTCGCCTGGCATCGCTCGGACGTGTGCCTTTTTTGTCGGCGAGGGCAATCGAGGAGCATCCTTGATCATTTGGCGAAGAAAAACCACGCACGAAACCGAAGAAAACACAGGGAATGGACGTCCGAGCGATGGCCAGGGTCGGCGTTGTTCCCCCCGAGCCAGTCCCTCCCAGCTCGTCGCGTGACGCCCGACCCCAAGCCAGACCTCCAGGCCGGTTTGGGAGGTCGCCGTGGCTCTGAAGGCGGGGCCGAGTTCCCCGCCCGCGGACTTGTGTGCTAGAGCGATCTCCCCAGAAGAGGGCGACGCCTTGGAAAGAACCAGAATCGAGAATTCCAACCAGAATTCCTCCTCCTCCCCCCTCCCCCCTTCCCCCTTCCCCTTCCTCCACCCTCCTCCCCCTCCCCCCTATCCCACTCCTCTTCTGCTTCCTCTCCTCCCCCCGCCCCCCTTCGCCCTTCCCCCTCCCTTCCCCCCCTCCTTCCCCCTCCCCCCACCCGTGTCCCCCTCCTCTCCTGCCTGCTTCCTCTCTTCCCCCTTCCCCCTTCCCTCCCTTCCCCCCCTCCTCCCCCCCCCCTGTCCCCCTCCTCTCCCCTTGGCGCCTCCCCACTGCCTGCGCGGAGAGGCGTGGGGCATCTCCTGGAACGTGGATGCGGACGACGCGCACCGCCTCGTCGTCGCCGGCGTGAGCCCCGGCTCCGCCGTCGGCCGCTGGAGCCCCCGCGGGGAGGAGGAGGGAGGAGGCGGAGGCGGAGGAGGAGGAGGAGGAGGAGGAGGAGGAGGAGGAGGAGGAGGAGGCGGCGGCGGCGGCGGCGGCGGAGGCGGAGGAGGAGGAGGAGGAGGAGGAGGAGGCGGCGGAGGAGGAGGACGAGAGGAGGAGGAGGAGAGGAGGAGAACGAGGAGAGAGGACGAGGAGGAGGAGGAGGCGAGGAGGCGGAGGCGGAGGCGGAGCGGAGGAGGAGGAGGAGGAGGAGGAGGAGGAGGAGGAGGAGGAGGAGGAGGAGGAGGAGGACGCGGAGTCGGAGGCGGCGGAGGAGGAGGAGGAGGAGGAGGAGGAGGATGAGGAGGAGGATCAGTGCAAACCCAAGAGTCGCCAGCGATGTTGGAATAAACTCTCCCCCCAAGCTCCCTCTTCGTATGCCCCCACAACGGCTCATTTCCATGGAGGGACCTGCCTCGTTGGAAGACAGCCGTTTTCAGACCCTGCAGCATGCCAAAACATTGTTCTCGAGATTCTAACGCCACGCATCAAGAAGCTGTGTGCTGCGTCTTGACCTGCCTGAATCGTGACAGAACGCCATTCCTCGGACTTCAGTACCGCGAATCATCGTAACTGTTGCACCCTCATAATCCTGAATCCTTCCAAGACGCAATTTCTGGTACGTCGGCCATGGGAATCCGTGAAACCTTTGCATTCTTTTCAGACGGGAGTGCGCGGCGCTAAGGAGAGAACCACATTTTGAAAAGGAACCGCTCTCCATCCGTGAAGCCCTTGCAAATTTTAACACGAATGTGTGCGGCGTTCAGGCGCGAGCACATTTTGAAAACGACTTGCTCTCAAACCGTGAAACTCTTGCATTCATTAAGACAATGTGCGCGGCGCTATGGCGAGATCCACATTTTTAAAACCACCCGCCCTCAATCCGTGAAGCTCTTGCAAATGTTGACAAGCAATGTGCGCGGCGCTAAGACGAGAGCCTCCTTCTGAAAACCACCCGCCCTCCATCTGTGAAGCTGTTGCCACTTTTTAACTGCATGGTCATAAATGATGAGGAAATGATACCGGAGAAAAAACCCAATCAGATTTTTGTTAGGGCTATAGGGCTATAGGGCTATAGGGCTATAGGGCTATTGGGCTATAGGGCTATACGGCTATCGGGCTATAGGGCTATCGGGCTATAGGGCTACAGGACTATCGGACTGTGACCTATAGGGCCATAGGGCTATAGGGCTATGGGGCTATAGAGCTATATGGGCTATGGGGCTATAGGGCTATAGGGATATAAGGCTATTAGGGCTATAGGGATATAAGGCTATAGGGCTACAGGGCTATAGGGCTATACGGCTATAGGGCTATAGGGCTACTGGGCTATTGGGCTATTGGGCACCCCCGGGCACCCGGGCACCCCCGGGCACCCGGGCACCCCTGGGCACCCGGGCACCCGGGCACCTGGGCCCGGCCACCGAAATCGGCCACCCGGGCACCCCCGGGCACCCGGGCACCCGGCCCCGGCCACCGAAATCGGCCGCTCACCTCACCTCAGCTTTATATCCGCTAGGACCCCTACAGAAGCAAGCTCTGATTGGGGAATCTCAGGCGAAACGCCCGCCCAGCCCTAAAAACTGGCCTCGGGGTGCGACAGGGAGAAGTCACATGCAAGGAAAAGTAATGGAGGAGGGGGAGGAGGGAGAGGAGGAGGGGGAGGAGGAGGAGGAGGAGGAGGAGGAGGAGGAGGAGGAGGAGGAGGAGGACGAGGAAGAGGACCAGTGTAAACCCAAGAGTCATCAACGATGTTGGAATAAACCCTCCCTCCAAGCTCCCTCTTCATAGGCCCCTACAGCGGTTCATGTCCATTGAGGGAACTCTCGTCGGAAGACAACCGTTTGAATATCCCGAAGCATGCCAAAGCATTGCTAGGGATTCCAACGCCACGGATCAACCTGACTGTTGCGTGTTGACGAGCCTGAATCGTGCCAGAAGGCCATTCCTGAGATTTCAGCATTGGGGGAGGAGGAGGAGGAGGAGGAGGAGGAGGAGGAGGAGGAGGCGGAGGAGGAGGCGGAGGAGGAGGAGGAGGAGGCGGAGGAAGGGGAGGCGGAGGAGGAGGAGGAGGATCAGGAGGATCAGGAGGACGAGGAGGACAACTATAAGCCCAAGACTCACCAACGACCTTACAACACACTCTCCCTGCAAGTTCCTTCGTCATAGGCCCCTACACGGATTCCTTTTCACTGAAGGAAGGAAGTGTGCCGTTGGTGACTGTTGCGCCTGGACATTCCGACTCCATGTCAAAACACCACTTCTGGGCCGCTAGGCACGATAATCTTTGAAACTTTTACGAACTCTGAAGACGACTGTTTGCGGCGCTAAGGCCAGAGCCACAGGTTGATGAATACGAGCCGCCCTTCATGTGAAACTCTTCTGCAAACTTTTAAGACGAATTCGCGTGGCCCTCAGTCCGTGAATCTCTTGCAGTTTTTGAGAAGGAGAAGGAGGAGAGGAGGAGGAGGGAGGAGGCGGAGGCGAAGGAGGAGGATTAAGAAGGGATGATGATAATGATGATGATGATGATGATGATGATGAGGAGGAGGAGGAGGAGGAGGGGAGGAGGAGAGGAGGAGGAGGAGGAGCAGGAGGAGGAGGAGGAGGCGGAGGCGGGGGCGGAGGAGGAGGATGAGGAGGAGGAGGCGGAGGAGGAGGAGGACGAGGAGGAGGAGGAGGAGGAGAAGGAGGGGGTGGAGAAGGAGGAGGGGGAGGAATGGAGCAAGTACATCGCAGGATGGATCAGGAGGAGGGAGGGAGGAAGGGGGAGGAGGAAAAGGACGGAGGCGGACGGATCATTGTCCAAGCTTCCAGGTCTACGAGCGGACGGGCCGCCATCAGACAGTCCGTCGGGGTCGAATGCCTCTTGATTAGGGATGTCAGCTGCCCCTTGATTAGGGATGGAGAAAGAGATGGAGGAGGACGTGGGGGAGGAGGAAGGAGATGGAGGAGGAGGAGGAGGAGGAGGAGGAGGAGGAGGAGGATAGGAATAATGGTTTGGAGGAGGAGGTCGAGGTGGAGGAGGAGGTTAATAGCAACAATAATAAGAACACGGCGAACACTAATACCAACATGTTCAAGCATATGACATATACTAGCAATACGATAAACATCCAACTACCTGCGGCAAGTCCGGCCACCGTGCCAGCCCAGCATTCTGGGTGGCGACTGATCGAGGGGGCACAGGAGCGCGCCACGTGTGACACCCCGTGTCTCAGGATTCTGGCGATGCGTGATGAGGATTATGAGGATGATGGGGGTGATGGCGGCGATGATAATGAGGTTTGTAACGATGATAATGTTGTTGATGATGCCGATTTTGATGATGAGGTTGCAGATGATGACGATGGCGACAAGGACGACGATGACGACGACGACCACGATGAGGATGATGAGGATGATGATGATGCTGATACTGATGATGATGATGATGATGATGATGATGCTGATGAGGATGCTGGTGATGACAACCATGATACGGATGCCGATGACGATGCCGACGGCGGCGGCGGCGACGATGACGATAACGCCGATTATGATGATGCTGATGCTGATGTTGACGATGCTTAGTATGATGGTGTGATGCTGATGCTAATGCTGGTGGTGATGGTGATTCTGTGGACGATGATGCTGCTGCTGCTGCTGATGATGATGATGATGATGATGATGACGAGGACGGAACTGACGATGATTCTGACGGTGGTGGTGGTGGTGATTAGGATGTTGATGTTGACGATGCCATGATACGGACGATGCTGATGCTGTTGATAACGTTGATGATGATGCTGATGATGACCATGCGGATGAGGATGATGATGACGACGTCGACGACGACGATGTCGATGATGACGGTTACGACGATGATGCCGATGCTGCTTGTGATGCTGATATTGATAAGGATGATGATCATCATCACCACGCGGATGCTGATGATGACGACGAGTCTGGTGATGATGATGATGATGCTGTTGAGGACGACGATGATGCTGCTGATGATGCTGCTGATGATGCTGATGATGCTGATGCTGATGCTGGTGATGATGCTGATGTTGCTGACGATATGCCTGTGATGATGACGATGCTGCCGATGGCCAGTATGCTGATGATGCTGATGATGGTGATGACGATGTTGATGACGATAATGACGATGCTGATGCTGATGATTCTGATGATGCTGATGGTGATGATGCTGATGCTGCTGATGCTGATGATGCTGACGATGATGACGATGATGATGCTGATGATGCTAATGATGATGATACTGATGATGACGATGATGATGCTACTGACGTTGATGATGATGCTGATGCTGATGCTGATGCTGATGCTGATGTTCATGATACTGATCATGATGAGGATGAACACGAGGATGATAGCGAGGATCAGGATGCTGCCGATGACGATGACGACGCCGACGACGATGACCATGATGATGCTGACGATGCTCATGATGATGATGCTGATGATGATGATGCTGATGATGATGATTATGATGATTATGAGGATGCTGATTATGATGATGAGTGATGATGATGCTGATGATGATGATGATGATGCTGATGATGATGATGATGATGATGATGATGATGATGATGATGGTGATGGTGATGCTGCTGCTGGTGATGATGATGCTGATGCTGATGCTGATGATGATGATGATGATGATGATGATGATGATGATGATGATGAAATTCGGTTGGGCCGTCTTGGAGCTGCCTTGGGGCACCTCTTGTCAGTCTTGGGTGTCCCTGGCAGTCCTGGGGTCTTGGGGTCCTGGTGGGTCGTCGGGTCCCTGGGGTCCTCTTGGGGGCCTGGGGGTCTTAGGGTCCTGTGAGGCAGTCTTTGGGGGGGTCGTGGGGCCGTCTCGGCGCCGACTTGGGCCGTCGACGGGCCTTCTAAGGCCGTCTTGGATCCCACGGGAGGCCGTCTTGGGCCGTGTTGGGGCCGTCTTGGATGCCTCTTGGGCCATCGTGGAGTCTTCTCGGTCCGTCTTGAGCTGACAGCAGTCCGAAAAGGCAAGGATGCGAACATCATTCAGACATCCAAGGAACATCAATACTTTTGGCTTAGTCGACCCCAGTTGGAGGTCCTCTTGAGGCCATTTTGGGCACTCTTGGGGACATATTGGGCGTCTTGAATCAACATTCGGCCGCCTCGGTGCCATCTTGGGCCGTCTTCGAGGCATCTTGGGCCATCTTGGTGTCCTTGGTTGCCTGCACTGGCCGTCTTGGAAGCTCGGGACCCATATCCGTTGTTGTTAACGAGGGATCGCGGCGTGGGATGCCCTGCAGCGCTTGGGAGCGGCGCCAGGGAATGCGGGAAGTGCACGATCCTCAAGCGGGTGCGCGTTGGATGAGGGGTCTAGGATTTAGCAGCCATGCTGGAAGTGCACCATCCTCGAGCGGACGCGTATGGCATGAGGGTTCAGACATTAGCTTCCATGCGGGAAATGCACCGTCCTCGAGCGGGCATGCGTGGAACGGGGGGCTCAGGCATTGGCTGCAATGCGGGAAGCGCGCTATCCTCGAGCGGGCACGCGTGGAACAGGGGCTTAGGCATCAGCTGCCCTACTAGAGAGTGCACCACCCTCGGGCGGGCGTGAAGAGAGCAGCCTCGGAGAGAGGCGGCGATGCGCGCAGGAGCCTGCGAGTAGGGAGGGGGGAGGATCCATTATCTCCTCCTCCTCCTCCTCCTCCTCCTCCTCCGCCTCCGCCTCCTCCTCCGCCTCCGCCTCCTCCTCCTCCTCCTCCTCCTCCTCCTCCTGGCTATCGCGAACGATGGAAAACGGGCTTTGATGACGAGGTTCGTGGGGAGCGGGCGCTCCTTCCAGAGCGCTCTGGAGCGCCCCCACAGAGTCCTGGAAGCACCACGGAGCAGCGGCGGCGCCCGCTGTGCCCTCCGGTCCTGCCGCCGACGAACTTCCAGAAAATATGACAAACTACACTCCAGATTTCGTAACAAAAGGGAGGGGGTCTGGACCCTCCAAGACAAGCCATTTCAGACCCCCCCCCCTGGGAGAACCCTCCAAAACATCGTCCCCAGACCCCCCCAGGCCCTCCAAGATAGCCTGGAAGAGACCCCCCCCCCGAAATGAGACCCCCCTCCCTTTTATTACGAAATCTGGAGTAGGGAATCCTGTGATCTGTGTCCATTTACTTGTGTGTCCCAGGGCCCCTTCATTGATCGTCTTCCCGTCGTCGTCTCCTGATGGGGAGCGGCACCGCCCCCGGGCAGCCCCCAGAGGCAGTCCCAGCTGGCCTCCAGAAACCCCCAGGGTGGCCCAGGACAGTCTGCGCCGCCGCGCCGCTGGAGGTGGCAGGAGCACGGCGAGACCGCCCCGGGCCGCCCCGAGGGCCTGTGGAGGCCGTCCTGCGCTGTCTGCACGGGCGGTCTGGGCGTAGCCCCATCCATACGTCGGGCGTCTCGAACAAGACTCGAGGCGGCGGCTTTTCACAGTTTTCGGCCTCTCGGTGCCCTTGCGGGGCACCGGGACCGTGCAGAAAACGGCTCGGGATGAAAGCCCAGTCCTGGGGAAGTGGTAAAGAGCTCGGGGGCCCGCGTCTCGACAAAACCGAGACGCCGGATTTCTGGGCAGGCATGTTCCCCAGCGGAGGAGGGACCCCTGTGTCCTTGCCTCTGCGGCCCGTCCTTTGCCGGTTTCACTGGCTGCCCGCCGCCTAAACATCCCGACTTCGGTCTCCAAGGGTCTTGCGTCCTTACCACCCGTCCTTCACACGCGTTTCGACGCCGCGCTGCTTCTCCACGCCGCTGCTTCTCCACGCCGCGGCTCCCCCAGCGGCCTGGACCCATCACAGCTAGGGACGTATTGGATTAAGAAGAGGCACCTTGAAATTTTGGGAGATATCATGGCCTCCGCCATGATGCCCCCCCCTAGTCATCACCCCCCTCTTGGCCGCCCCCGAATCTTGGGGGTGGCTGAGGCCCTCTTGGGCTCTTCCTACAAGCCTCGTCGGAAATATCCAGAAATGGAAGTTGAAATCCTGGAGCACGATGCTTTCGGGCACTTGTCAGAAAGCGCGCTCTTCAATGCTGAGAGGGCGGGGCCGATGTTTTGACAACACCGCGTCCGAGCCAACAGGCATCCGTCAGCACTGGAGCAGCGCTGACCCCACAATCGCCGAATTCAGAAGTCTTCTGTCTATTGCTAAGGCCTTACGGCCAGTGCCGCCGACCCTGGATACCTCGGCCCTCGAGGGTGACGGGATGCGTAATAAGACGTCGGAGGTAAATGAAGACGTGGCGGAGGAGGAGGCGGAGGAGGAGGAGGAGGAGGAGGAGTAGGAGGAGGAGGAGGTTTGACGAGGCTTGCAGGACAGTCTCTCCCTCCCGAGTCGTTCTCTTCGGCGCCCCCCCCGCGGTGCCCGGCCTGGGCCCGCGGGAGGCCGAGGGAGGGCTGCCCCCCCCCCCCCCTCCCCCCCAAGAGCCCGCCGCGGCCTCTCGTCTCCAAGGGCTCCCACGAGGGCGCGACGTGGTTCGCGCTTCGCGGTCCTCGCTCCTGTTCCCCCTCCTCCTCGTCCTCCTCTTCTCCCTCTTGGGGGGCGGCGCGAGCGCGCGGCGTTGGCTCGCGCCCTCGCGCACAGCGCGCAGCCCTCGGGTCTCTTCGGGGGCGCGGGGGTGCCCGTGAGGACCCCACGGGCGGGGCTGGCGCAGGGCCGGGGTCAGGTCGGGCATGCCCTTCTACAGGAGGGAGGTTCTCGAGGCTTCTCAGATGGGGTCGGAGGACAAACGCCAAAAAGTCAAAAAACGCAGAAATCATCAAGAGTGGTCGAAAAATCGTCACCTGACTATTTTTTGACCGTTTTCGATCTAGAGGCTTCCCAGATGGGGTCGGAGTAGATGGGGTCGGAGGATCGCGCCGCATCGCCGATGCATCGGCAATGCATCGGCGAGGCGGCTCGATGCGGGGCCCAATTTCTCCGCGCCGACGTCGCCGATGCATCGCCGACGTCGCCAGTGCATGGCCGATGCATTGCCGATGCATCGGCGACGCATCGCCGATGTATCGGCGATGCGGCGGGATCCTCCGACCCCATCTACTCCGACCCCATCTAGGAGGCCTCTAGATCGAAAACGGTCAAAAAATAGTCAGGTGACGGTTTTTCGACCACTCTTGATGATTTCTGCGTCTTTTGACTTTCCAAATCCGCCTGCAGGAGGACATGCCCGACCTAAGGCTAGGGACGAAGACGAGGGGACCCTCTGGCGGGGCTGGGACTCTTGGGCGTGGCTCTGTCCAGCGCGGTGTCCAGGGGACCCTCGGGCGAAGCTGGGACGGGGCCGCATCGTTCCACAGCGTTCCGGAACGCCTCTGCGAGGGCTGCGACGCCCGGTGACTGGATCCTCCGGAGACGACGTCGGACCTCCCAGAGCCCCGACCTTTCCCTGTCCGGTGCAGTCCCTGCCCTCGCTCTGTCATGAGAGGGGGAGGGGGAGGAGCAGGAGGAGCAGGAGGAGGAGGAGGAGGAGGAGGAGGAGGAGGAGGAGGAGGAGGAGGAGGAGGAGGAGGAGGAGGAGGAGGAGGAAGGTGGAGGAGGAGGAGGAGAGGAGGAGGAGGGGAGGAGGAGGAGGAGGAGGAGGAGGAGGAGGGAGGAGGAGGAGGAGGAGGAGGAGGAGGAGGAGGAGGAGGAGGAGGGAGGAGGAGGAGGAGGAGGGGAGGAGGAGGAGGAGGAGGAGGAGGAGGAGGAGGAGGAGGAGGAGGAGGAGGAGAGGAGGAGGAGGAGGAGGAGGAGGAGGAGGAGGAGGAGGAGGAGGAGGAGGAGGAGGAGGAGGATGGAGAGGAGGAGGAGAGGAGGAGGAGGAGGAGGAGGAGGAGGAGGGGGAGGGGGGGGAGGGGGAGGGGGAGGGGGAGGGGGAGGAGGGGAGGAGGAGGAGGAGGAGGAGGAGAGGGGAGGAGGAGGAGGAGGAGGAGGAGGAGGAGGAGGAGGAGGAGGAGGAGGAGGAGGAGGAGGAGGAGGAGGAGGGAGGAGGAGGAGGAGGAGGAGGAGGAGGAGGAGGTGGAGGAGGAGGAGGAGTGAGGAGGAGGAGGAGGAGGAGAGGAGGAGGAGGAGGAGGAGGAGGGGGGGAAGGAGGAGGAGGAGGAGGAGGAGGAGGAGGAGGAGGAGGGGGGAGGAGGAGGAGGAGGAGGAGGAGAGGAGGAGGAGGAGGAGGGGAGGAGGGGAGGAGGAGGAGGAGGAGGGAGGAGGAGGAGGAGGAAGGAGGGCAGCCCGCAGGAACGCCGCCCGCCGCGGGTGCGGGCTGCGCTGCGTGGGCCGCGGGGACGAGCTGCTGGCCGTCAGTCGGGCGCAGAGGCAGGAGCGCGGCCCCGAGGAGCGGCGGGGGGGTCCGCGGGGGGGCCGCCGCCCCTGGGAGCGCCTCGGGCCTCGGGGGTGGCGGGGCGGGGGGGAAGTCTTTCAAGGCATGCCACAGTGGCTTATGTCTTGTGCAGCCGACGGATGCCCTGTTGTTGGCGGCCGAGCCGAGGGTCGATCCGTCAGGGGAGGGGGCCTTCGTGGGCGCTCCGAGAGGAACTCGCGAAGCCCCCTCCCCGAAGCGGCGCTCGCCGAGGCGAGGCCGCCCAATTTTTTGCACCTGTTGTTTGGTGCAGTTTGCTTACGGCATTTTCCACAGATGCTGTAAGGAGTCGCCTGTTTGGCTGATGTGGTGAACCCGTGGAGGTCAACAAAAATCCTCCTCCTCCTCCTTCTCCTCCTCCTCCTCCCTTTCCTACTTATGGTAGTGGTGGTGCACAATCGGCCCATCAGGCGAGGCGGGGCCAGTGAGGCCCCCCTGACCTGGAGAAGAAGCAGCGGCGCAACCCGAAAACCCATACGTGCCCTCCATTTCCAGTGGGGGGGGGTCGGGGGTCGGGGGGGGGCATGGAAGAAACACATGTGACGCCCGCGCCCCCCCTCCCCGAAGTTGGGGTCTTCGGGTTAGGGTTGGGGTGGTCTGGTAAGTAGTCAGGGTGAGTGTAGGTCTCCCATATGGTGTCCGAGCAGCTGGGGTCGGAGTATCGCGCCGCATCGCCGATGCATCCGCGACGCGGCTCGGCGCCGAACCCGATTTTGTTTACGCCGACGGCGCCGATACGTCGCCGACGTCGGCGATGCATCGATGCATCGGCGACACATCGGGCCCCATTTGCGAGGCCTTTGTCGCCGGAGGTCCAGTCAACGCTGATAGCAAGGATGAACGACTTTCCCAAGTTTCCCTTGCATCCTTTCCTTTCGGCCCATCCTTGGCCACTTTCGTTGGTCAGCCCCGCTCGTCATGTGCCGGCGTGCCCTTCCAAGGCCCTTGCATCCTTGTCGTGCACCCTCACCATCAGCTTTGGCAGCGAGGGGGGGGAAGGGAGGTTGGGGAATTTCGGGTCGGAGGGGCCTGGGGGCATCGGGGGCTGCGAAGCCAGCTGCGGGTAGCCGGTTTCGGCCTGGCCGCCGGGCGCCTTCCCCGATGTGCGGGCGCATTCGGCGTTGGGCCCGGGGGGGTGGCTGCGCGCAACGGAGCCTTCCCGCCCCCCCCAGTTGCCTTCTCTTGCACAATATGAGTACTGTTCTCCTCTCTCCCCAGATGACGTCTTGACAATATCCGGACCCCTTCCGCGTATGGTCTTTTTACCCAAGGTTCCCCGGCAGTGGGTTTTCGTTGTTGGGTTTTTGTTCAGAATATTGCTCCCGCGGAAACGCTGGCCCAGCTTTCGGTCTTTCGCTCGTTTCGAATCGTGTTCCTGCTGTAGCGTTGGCGTCATTTCCGCGCTTCCGTTTGTTGCGAATCGTGCTCTCGTTCCGAATCGTGCTCCCGCCGCAGCGTTGGCCTCATTTCCGCGCTTCTGCTCGTTCCGAATCGTGCTCCCGCTGGAGCACTGGCGTCATTATTTCCAGTGCCATGTCACGGCATGTTTTTTCGGTCCTTCCAAAGAGGCCCCAGCATCTTGAAAATGCCTCCCCGAGAAAACCATCGGAAACGATCGCACATTCGGTGCCGTTTCGTTAATTTTTTGGGCCGCAGACGCCCCCCCAATGCTACGCCATGCCGTATTAATCGACGCGTTGATCTTGAACACCATGCTATGCCATGTGATGCTTTGCCTTGCTGCGACATCCGGCTGTGCGAATTGAGAGGAGATCTATGCCATGGCAAGCGCTGGAAGGGAGGGGTAGGACGCCAGATATGATGCAAAAACACCCCTCTGCCTCTCTGCTGCTGCTGCCCCCCGCGCTCAGCGCGGGGGGAGGGGGCGCCAGGAAGACCGGCTGCGCGCAGCGGAGTCCTCCGCCCCCCCTCCCCTGTGCTGCTCCCGCCCCCCCTTCGGTCCACCCCTGGAGACTGGAGTCGGAGGCGTCCAGCGCAGACGCCCTGGCTTGGCGTCGCTCGGACGCGTGCATTTCTGTTCTCGGACGTTTCTCGGCCCGGGCTCGGCGTCGCTTGAGGAGCAGTTTGGGCCATCCTGCGGAACAAACCTCGGGGGCGGCAGCGAGGGGGGTGATGACTGGGGGGGTGGATATCATGGCGGGCGCCATGGTATCTCCCCAGATTTCATGGCGCCTCTTCTTATTCCATTGCGTCCCTGGTTTCCTGGGGCTGCGTTCGTGCCGCTGGCCACGACCTGCATGCCCCCCCTCTTGGACGCCCCTCTTGGATTGAGTTGGGCCTGTCCCTTTACATTGGGGATACTCAAAAATAAGTTATTAAAAAATAGTCAGGGGGACTATTTTTGGAGTATTTTTGACGATTCTCGAATATTTTTCGAGTATTTCATATTTCTCGTCGAACATCCCCCTGCAGGGGGACACGCCCGACTCAACTCTTGGACGCCCCCGGAAAAAGGGCACGACTGCGTGGCGCCTCTTCGCATCTCACGGCGCCTCTTCTTCTTCCGCCGCGTCCCTGGCTTCCCGAGGCCCCTCGCGCGTGTTTCGGTGGCCACGGCCTGCACGCCCCCCCTCCTCTTGGACGCCCCCCCCCTGCCTCGGACGCCCCCCCCTCCTTGGTTGGGCGCCCCCCGCTTGCGCGCTCCCCCCTCCCTGGACGCCCCTCCCTTCCTCGGGCGCCCCCGGAAGCAAATCCCCCGACGGCAGGCCGGAGCCGTGGAGGGAGGGGTCACGACGGGCGGTCCCGCGCTGCCTCTCGGCCTCATGGGCGGCCTGGCCATGCCCGGCCCCGGGGCCGTCAACAGATCCTGCTCAGGATGAAGTCTTGGTCGGGGGCGGCAGCGAGGGGGGTGATGACCAAGGGCGCCCTCGAGGGCGCGAAGTTATTCGCGCTTCGCGCTTCGCGGTTCGGCTCCGATTCCTCCTCGTCCTGCTCTTCTCCCCTGGGAGGCGGCGCGAGAGGGCGAAGTTATTCGCACTTCGCGCTTCGCGCAGCGCGAAGCGCGAAGCGCGAAGTTGGGAGCCCTTAATGACTAGGGGGGGGTGGATTTCATGGCGTGGGCCATGATATTTCCCCAGGTTTCATGGCGCCTCTTCTCACTTCATGACGTCTCGGGCCCCCCCCCCCCCTGGGCCGCGCACATGCCGCCGGCCATGATTTGCACCCCCCCCTCTTGGACACCCCCCTCTCGGCCGCTCCCGATCAGGATGAGGTCCCGGGGGGAAAGACATCAAACTTTCGTACTAGTAAAACTACGAATAACGATGCGACCACGAATGGTAACGTTACGCCTCCTGAGTAGGTACGTGGACACAGACATCCACAGACAGTTTGAATACATGCACACATGAGTAAACACATGCATGAATCACTACATATATACAGATACACACATATACATAATTACAGCATGCAATACATAACTAATGAATCCAGCACACACACACATAGAAGAAACCATGTTTAATTAGTAAGTACATACATTCATAAACAAATCACATACGTTGTTCATGCTTACATGCTAAATGCGTAAACAAATTAACACAACAGCATAAAGATCTCTGGGCGTCGACGTGAGCACAACTCATGACGTCTGGGGTCTGGGGATAGGTGGAGTAAGGCCTACTGGTGTGTGGCCCTGATATCTCCTACTTTCGATGGGGTCCTTGCCCCTCACGCCTCGGGCCATCGTGTGCCAACCTCCCTCCCCCTTGAGATCCGACGACGGGGAAACATTGCAACATCGTGAAACATCACGACCAGAGCCCTGGACCCCAGCTGTCTGCAGCACTCTTCAGGCCAGATCGATCTGTGAGAACTCGAGGCTGCTCGAGAAAAACCCGACCTCGAGCATCTCGCGACGCCACCCAGACACCTGGCGTCTCGATTCGGCGTTTCGAGGCGCGGGCCCCCGACCCCTCGACCTCGTCTCCGGGACCGGCTCTCGGCCGTGTGCAGCTCCTCTGGCGGCCCTGGGGCCCCGGAAAGGGCCCCGAGAGGCCGAGGGGGACGGCACGCCTCCGTCCCGACTTGTTCGAGGCGCCGGACGCCTCCTCCTCCTCCTCCCCCTCCTCCTCCTCCTCCTCCTCCTCCTCCTCCTCCTCCTCCTCCTCCTCCTCCCCCTCCTCCTCCCCCTCCTCCTCCTTGGCTCGAGCTCTGGCGCACCCGGCCCGAGGTCCACGGTCGGGTACGCCGCGCCTGGCCCCGCCTGCTCAAGGCCCTGTCGCAGGCAGGGCCGCATCGCTGGCGGCGTGTCCGCGGGCCAGCTGCTGCTGTGATCGCGGTGCTCCTGGACACCGAGTGGCGGCCCGAGTCGCCCCAGCGCTGGGTCCGCCCGACTGGGCCCAACGCGGTCGACGAGTGGATCATCCCTGGCCCCGACGCGGAGTGCTTCGCTGTCGCTGACGCGTTCGAGCTCCTGGACGACCTCATGGCGGACTTCGCGAGGCGCATGTGGCAGCGGGCTGCTCTACACCCCGCTGGCGACAGCCTCTGCAACGGCGCCGACATGATGCACGTGCAGCGGGAGTTGAGGCGCTTCATGGCCGCGGGTGCGCTCGACCAGTGGGCGCAGACGGTCGTCATCGTCAGCGGCGGCCAGTGGACCAGGGAGCGCCAGCAGCAGGCAGGATACGATTCGGAGGTGACCTGCCAGCGCCGTGGCACTGAGAAGGAAACGTTATTTCATCGAATTTGGAGTTGCCCGTGCAACACGGGTCATGCAGATTTTGACGCCAGCGAATGCTTGGCTGTGCGTGCGAAGGTGGGCTGGGAGCAAGACCCCGCCTTGTGGTTGCGGGGCGTCTGCCCGTCCGACCTCACCACGCCCGTTTTCGACGAGTGCCAGGCGGACTGGGTCGAGCACCAGGGCGAGCCGTTCGACAACTGCAGGATCGAGGGCGAGGAGGTGCTCGACGTTTTCGGCGATGGCTCGGGCGGCCCGCACACAGCCGATCCT